TGCTATTTATGTATAATAAATTAGTCATTCGGAAAAGAAATAGCAAGGGCTAACATTGTTTCCATGAAAGACAAAAGTAATAAAGCATCAGTTCTCAATAGCAGAGATCCTCCTGGATTCCTGTGAGAATGTTCCCCAAAGCAGAAGTTGCTTCTCTAATGCAGGAACTGAATATTTAAACATCACCCGAACAAAGAAAAAAAGAAGGAAGAAGAAGAAAGAACATCAGTTGTCGTGCAGATAACTGGTGTCCCAGATAAGGCCATCACTATCTCAACAACAGACCATGATTTAAGCACCAAATCTGCGTTTGGATGTAACAGAATCGTTCAAGAAGCTTCAAAATCCTTCCACTCTAATGCTTGTTTCTCCAGAGTCATTGTACAAAACAAAATGCTCAGTAAGGGAAGTGCCAGCTGCCAAAACCCACAATATGAGAAAGAGATGATATATAGTAATATGATACTATCATTAAGATTCAGTTCAGATGCTATTCTATGAGAGCTTCGAAACTCACACAAACTACTGCTTTTACAGCTAAAAGACACCCACAACGTACGTACACCTTCATTGAGATTTCAGAACATCGGATTATTGGATTGGATTTGATTCTCCTTCCGGTTTTTCCTTGCTAACTGCAGGATCGACCCAGATCTTCTCAAATCTAAATCCTATAGTTATAACACAGCAGCAAGCTAGTAGTGACCCCCCACGGTTCTGCAGCACAAGAAGATCTTTTCCCCTTCTTTTGGATTTCATTTCAAATACAAGTTAAACAAACCCACCATACAAGTACAATCCATGTCACACTAGAAAACGAAATCGAGCTCCCTTCCCCACCCCCAACACCAAAAACCACCCAAAAGAAAAAAATTAAATCAAAAGGAAAGATAAAATCTTTAAACAATGGAAGGACAATTCTTACATATGGACTAGACCATTATTTTGTGATCCAATACCCGTCTCCTTTTAGACCGATCGCTTGAATTTGAACGTTCCAGCAAAGATTTCAATGCGTTTTGCAAGAAATGAACTGATTCAATGCTGTGATCTTTATCTGCTGCAACAATTAGAACGTTGCGGATTCTTCCTCCTAGCGTTGCCATTTCTGCTTTTAGTGTCTTCAAATGGAGAGACTTTAGAATCTCGATTAGCTCCGGTAAAAGATCGGACCGGTCCTCACAGCACAAGGAAGCCTTGAATATTAGCCTTCCATCAATTGAATAATCGCATGAAAGCACTGTGATTTCGTCGGTTTCAGACGGGAAGGCTTCGAGTTCAGTGAGTTCAAGGGTCTGTTGTTTCAGTTCTTTCACGCGTTGGACCACCTTCGCCAGAAGAGAAGCTTTGTCTGTCTGCGACAATTAAAAAAAAATTTTTTAATTAAAGGAAAAGATAAAGAGAACCCTAATTGTAAAAAGCTTATTGACTTTCCCAAACGCACAAGGCATAGAAAGTAATGAAATGTTTTCTTCCTTTTTGTTCTTTAAAATTGCTTTAGCAGCAGCTGTTTGAACGGTTCAAAAGCTTCATAAGGCTGATATAGATCCCAAGATTTCAGAATCTAAAGACCTTGTCCAGTGAAAGCAAAAGAAACAAGAGTGAGTAATATACTGCAAATTTCTATATTTGAATTTGCAATGTTTAATCGCTGAAATTGCTCCGAATAATTGTGTTAGGAAAACGTCAAGTCAATTGGCAAATTTTTTTCTTTTCGTGGGGTGAAGGGAAATCCATCATAGTCCCAAATTTCTATCCCTTTACGATTTTTTCCCAGAAAACAAGTAGTCAACAAAGCACGAATTACAGTAAACATACAAAAATTCAAACGTCCAACCGTCCAAGGAAAACGAATCCAAAGCTTTGATAGATAGCTCAAAAGTTAAAAACTTTTAACTTTATTAAGACAAAAGATTTTTTACTTTCCTCTTTTGAGAAAGGAAGTAACATTTTTTCCCACCAAAAGCAGCATAGAAAAATTTGCATTGTGGGGTGGTATGAAAAACCAGTTTAAGTCCATCAGCATCAAAAACCGATTTCCCTAATCGCTGGAAATTCCCGAGAAAATTATATTCAAAGACTTTACAATTCCAGGACACCGACGTGAGCAAATATTATACATGGTGTGTGTGGCTCCATTAATATACAAGAGACCCCAAAAAACATACCTTAGAATTACAAGGAAGAAGGCTCCGTAGCCTATTGAGATGAGAGTTAATCCTCTCTCTCCTCCTTTTCTCAGCCTCTTTGTGATTCTTCAAAGCAGCAAGAGCTCTATCCTGCGGCGTCGTCTCAGTTGTAACTCCAGACATCTCCAGAGGATAGTACGTGGAGGAACTGGAAAAGCTTTGCATAGCTGGAAACTCCAAATTGGCAGGAAAGCCGTACGATCCGACGCCGTTTTGAGCCAGAAAACGGTAGAGCTCGGAATTCTCCGGTTGCATGCTTGTGGTATGATTTGAGTATGATGATGGCGTTTTTTTTGACCAAGTTTTGGAAGTTGGAAGTGAAATCAAAGCGTGTTCAGTGCTTTGCTTTCGGTGGTTTTTGTCTTTAGGGTTTTTTTGTATAAAGTTGGGTAACATCTCACGAGTTATCAGATTCCGAGACTTTTATAATCTTTTCTTCGGTAGTGTACACCTTAGCATACCTCTGCCCAAATTTCAATGTGGGGTCCTTATTTGCAATGAAAACACATTTCCACGTAATGCAAAAGAGAAAAAAACAGAAGGCATATTTATGTATGCGCATGTCTGTATACATTAAGTAAATTATATAATTAACTTATAACTTTTCATAATATTTTACTTTTATTTATTAAAAATTTGATTTTTTTATCAAGGATATTTGAATTTCTCACAAAACTTTTTATCTGTCAATATGTCTATAAAGTTTGTATTGAATCTACCACATAATAGTGTAAAAGACAATTTTTGGGAAGAGAAAGGTCCAAATATTTTTGTTTTCTTCTACTATTTACTTTAGAAATCAGCCGACATCTAGGAGCCCAGTGTTGAGTTCACACTCATGTCCATGAAGAAAATAATTAGTGTCAACCTTTTCTTTTGACTAATCAAATGCAAATCAACGAGAAAACTAAGTAATGTATTTTTTTTCCTAGTTTCCTTGATCATGACCAGCCGAAAGCAAGGACTGCTGGTTAGTGCTGTCCATGGCATGACCCATAATTAAATTGAAGCATGAATATAAACAGACACAACAAAGAAGATATATTAGAACCAGCGCCATTCAAATTCAGTTTTGTTGACAATTTGCCGATGATTACTTATCTCGATATTCGTAAGAGAAAAGTTTTATAAAGGTAAACTAGAATTATTTTTTAAAAATTAAATAAATATTATGTTTTTATTATATTTAATTAAGTTTTTATATTTTTATTTTTAGTTAAATACGTTTTTATAACTAATAATTGATTAACTGTCATTAGTTAAAATGTTATTTATCGTTTTTTACGTGTTGACATGGAGGTTGAAAATACCATATGCCTATGTCATCATGTCACATTAGTATGCCATCTTATTATCCATTATGATATGTTAACATTACATAACATAAAATGACAATTGATGTTTTGACTAACAACAGTTAGTTAATTGTTAATCATAGGGGTCTATTTGACCTAAAATAAAAATATAAAAGCTTGATTGAACATAATAAAAAGCAAGAACTTATTTGAATTTATCTAAATATTCAAGGCTTCTTTAGGTATTATACCATTTATAGTTCTTAGTTTTCAATTTGAAGTATTACTATAAGCAATTAGTCAAAGTATTATTGTGTTTAATCAAATTTTTATACTTTTATTTTGAGCCAAATAGGATCTTATGACTAATGGTTGACTGACTACCATTAGTCAAAATACGACTTGTCTTTTTCATGTGCTAACATGGTGCTGACATGGAGGTTAAAAATGTCATGAGGCCATGTCATCATTCTAAATTAGCATGTCATGTTATCATGCATTATGACATATCAACATGCCACATTAGTACCACATGACATATAATGACAAGTGATGTTTAGACTAACAGTTAATCATATATTAATCATAAGGGACTATTTGACTTGAAATAAAAGTATAGAGGCTTAATTGAACTTAACAAAAAAAAAAGAAATTATTTGAATGTTTCAGAGGTTTTTGTAGGTATTATACATTTTATAATTTTTAATTTTTAAGTTCAAATATTACTATAAGTGAGTTAGCATAATTTTGTATTAGTTTTAGTTGATTGATTTGTTTAACGGTTAGTTTCATGGATATACATATTATTTGATATATGTTACATTGTTTCTTTCATTAGAAAAAATGCTACATGGATTTTAATTAATGCATGTAGTGCAAATATGTATATGCTACACAAAATTTAGAATGATATAAAACGTATATGGCTCAAGTTTTCTTGAACTTCAATTCCCTATAATAAAACAAATTACTAAATACGATGAATTCCTAAATTTTGAAATTGATATGTGTAAAACTCCAAGTTTTCTTATTGTGGAAATTGGTATAAATTTGAATTTTTATGAAGTATACATTGGTGATGATATCAATGAGAATTTCTTGTTATTTGATGTAAATCTATATATATATATATATATATTATCGTGTTACATTCATGGAGGAATAATGGTTAAAAGAATGGCTGAAAAAACAAACCAAAGAAAAGGATGTTTCCAAGTTTGAGCTTGAAAGGTCTATCGCCAGGGTGCAAGATCCTTAAATAACTACTAGAGGTGTCTAGAATTGACCCCAAGCAAGGTAAGGTCAATCCTCATAAGTTGGAACACTTAGAATAGCTTCTCAAAACTCAAGGATCGACCTAGAATGGTTAAAGAGTCGATCCCAGCAACATGGAGTCCAAAAGATCAACTTCTGGTGTAGGATCGACATCCCAAGAACCAAGGTTGATCCTAGGATAGAAAATTTAAGCCTAAGGATCAACCTTCATGTTTAAAAGCTCAAGCCCCAGGCTATAGGGTACAAAAAAAATTTATATGCCCCAAAACACGGCTTTTCAAACATTTTTCATTTCGACTAGCCTCCAAACACTCTCTCTTCCTTTCCAGACCCTTCTTTAGCCTCCATGGACTCCATATAGCAAGGATTAAGCATACAACTTGATTTTTAGGTAAGATTAACAGTTACGCCCTACTATGTATTTTCCATAAATTTTAGCAAATATACTTCAATTAAGTTGAAGATTTTTAGGGGTTTTATTCTCAAAAGAAGTGTTTAAGGTAATGATGTTTAAGGTTTCAATATATTTGATTTGGGTTTGAAGTTTTAAGGATTATTGGTTGGAAACAAAAAATATGTGTTTGCTTAACTAGTTTTGAACTAGTGGGTTTATTGCAAAACTAGGAAATTTATGTTAGAAATTTTTGTGTTAGGTTGTGTTGAGCTCATTAGTCGTAGAACAAGTGAGTTTGACAGAGCATAGCTTAGAAGCATCATTTTGTCAAGGTGAGTGGAGACACCACTTTCAAACTATTTTAGCATGTAAAGCTAAAGGCGTTGTTTGATGTTTATTGATGATTATGTTTTACCATAAATGTTTTCGTGAAACGAAAATGTGTTTATGGATGAACCCATGCTTTGGAAATGTTTTTCAAAACTACTATATATATGTAAATATCCCACTATGTATTAGTTTTCAACAAGGGGAACAAGTCTTTTTAAGTGTTTTATACCAAAACCATCACTTCAATGAGATGTGCATGAAATGCTTGGAGCATCATAAATTGCTATGCTTATGTGATGATAAATCCCACATATTAAATGAGTTATGAATAAATACCTAACATAGGTTTGGTTGACTAGTTGTGTGCGAAGTTAACCCCACACACTATATGAAATGAGAAAGAGTACATAATGCAAGATATGCTCGAATGCTATAATGTTAGAATTGTTGGGTGAGGGATAATCATGCATCAAATACAAATAAGTGCAGCGAAAATAAATTTAAGATTAAATTATGCCTCACCTTCTTAGGATCTCTTTCATACCGAATTGAGTACGAAATTAAATTACAAATATGTATGATTGTATCAAATTTACCTTAATAACAAAGGTTGATGAATCTTTTGTTAAACCACCGATTTGCCTTCAAAAGGCTCAACCACCTTAGCCCGGTTATTGCAAACCAAAGCTGTCCAAGGAATCCTTGTGTAGCCTCCAATGGTTATCCACACTAATGAATTAGAAAATTCTTCTTTAAGGATTGGGAGTGCTATGCCTTAACAATGTCACTACAAAAAAACTAGCTTTTTTCGACGAAATTTTCCGTCGGAACAAGTTGGAAATCCGTTGGAAATACGTATTTCCAACGGATTTTCGATGAAAATTTCCATTGGAAAATCCATCGGTAAAAGCCTCGTCGGTAATACTTTTCGTTGAAAATCCGTTGGAGATTGCCAACGAAAAATTCCACTGGAAAATTTTGTTGAAAACTATGTAGACTGCTGAATGTCAGTCATAAAATTCGGTTGGAAATTTCCAACGGAATTTTCGTTGGAAATGAATTTCCAACGAAATTTCTTTGCAAATTTCCAACGGAAAATTCCATTGGAAAGTCAATTCCAACAACAATTTCATTGGAAAATTGCGACAGAAATTTTCTATTGGCCATACTTTGGCTACGAAATTTTCCGTTGGAAATTTCCAACGAAATTTTCAGTCGGAAATGACTTTCCAATGAAATTTCCTATTCGACATTTCCAACAGAAAAATTCCGTTGGAAATTCTTTTCCAACTGAATTTCCCGTGGGAAATGGTTCACCCAAAAATTTCGTTGGTATTTCTTTTCCGACGAGATTTTCCGTTGGAAATTTCCAATGGTATGTTCCATCGGAAAAGAATTTCCAACGAAAAAATTCTGCTGGACTTTCCAACGGAAAATTCCGTTGGAAATTCTTTTCCAATGGAAATTCTATTAGTAATACTTTTTTTATTAGTGATGCTTATCCAACAAAATTCAACAATTAAAATTTCAATAATAAATGTCCAATTGACTTCCACAATTTGCTTTCAAAATATATAATAGAAGCACAATAAAACCTAAAATGCGAAGTCAAGTTCATACAATTAAAAATTATCATAAACATACAATATCTCAAAATGTAAAACACATAACCTAATATAAATTCCATACTGTTATTAAATACCAAGACTAAAAAGTCTCCAAGTCTATAAATGGAAAAGAGACATCATATCATGAGATGTTGCGTTCTTACTTGTCAATATTTGAGCTTGAAGTTCCCACATTTCCTTGTTTTGAAATCGTATTAGTCACGATCATTGCTTCCATACGTGCCATAAATTTAGTCATGCTTTCCGCCATTGCAGTCTTAGTTTCTTGTATTTCCCCACGTATTTCGTCACGAATCTTATCTAAGTTGTCTGATAGATTTTCTACTTTTTCTTCTAATGCAATTGCGGGCCTGTTACCGTTAGAGTTGATAAGGCTGGCAAACTCAGATGTTGCTGCATTACTTTGTACTCCACTAAGTAGAGCTGTAACAGGCACCCGAGTACCAAACCCATATATGTGAGTACGTGTAGTCTCATCCCTCCAA